GTTGATCCCCGCAAAGCAACGCTCCGATAACGTAGTTTTCTCCCGAGCCTCCCCCGCACCCCGCACGACCGGCCAAAAAAAAAAAACCACAGGCCCACCACACCCTCTCTCTCTCTCTCTCACACATGCACACACACACACAAACACACACAAACACATACATTCTCTCTCTCTCTCTCTCTCTCTCTCTCTCTCTCTCTCTCTCTCTCCATGCAAAAAAAAAGGCCTACGTACCTTGGTCCACTATGTCGGTGCCGTGCTCCGGTTACGCCACCACACGTCATTCTCTCTCTCTCTCTCTCTCTCTCTCTCTCTCTCTCTCTCTCTCTCTCTCTCAACCTTTTATGTTTTTGATTTTTTACAATTCTTTAACACGATATTTTTCCAAAAAACAAAATATGGGGTTGCAGGGATTAAAAATTCCTACAACCCCATATTTGTTTTTTTTTTTGGCTTATTAAATAAATTAGGAAAAATACGGTCAATTGACGTCCGCGGCACGGACCAGGCACTTGATGTTTTGGCGCGCTGAATCAACTTGAAGGTGTTCGATGACTTCCCTCCTCGGTGGATGAACGCCATTCGCACGGACTCTGCCTGTGTTTCGATGTCGGGTTTCTATCATGCCCTTGTAATTACGAACTTCCACTCCGTGTTCCATCTATGAGATCTCTGAAGACATTTTCTGTGTCACACGCTGCTGCGGTGTTATATAGTTTTGCCATTGCAGCACACTGCACAAAGCGTTGTACCATTGATTGACGAAATTTTTCGACCGTTCGTTCGTTGATCTCCATCGCGCTAACAACTTCTGTTATACATTTTGCAGTTATGTTCGTTCCCTTTGTCACGTTTGCTAGCTTTCGCATCAATTCAGCTGCCACGTAACAAACGTAAACACCACAGTCCGACGTATTGGTCGGTTGTGAACATTCTGCATATACTATGTTAGATCCAAGTAGATCTCTGCATGTCACCCACGACGTGTCCACGGTCTCAGGAGTCAACACCCCTGCTTTGTCTGCCTCGTTGAGGTATTCATACCACAAAAATGTGCGCAACGTCTTCCATTTCTGTCGGCCGCTCTGTTGAAAGGAATCCATGACGATCGCAACAGGTCGTTTCTGGTCATCATTGTCCTCCGTGACTGTAAAAACTGACCAACATTCAGTAACAAGAGCAATTTCCAATGGTTTTTGTGATTCATAGGGATGAGAACAACAACTATCGTTCGCAGTTCATTGCTTATTCGATGCAGCTTTGCAGGTCTACTCTTGATCCGCTCCTGCCATCCTGCTTTCGCGACATAAACCTTCTGATTGGCGATGACTGCGGGATGCCAGAAAGTTGTGCAAACATGAAGTGTCGTGTTGTTCTGTCCAGGGAAATGTTCTTCATAGACGGACTGTAAGTACATATCGATTATGACGTCGTTCAGCCACTGCTTCGCACCCAATCGCAATACGTCCCGTTTCGTTACACTATGGCGTGTCTTCTTGATTTCCACGTGAAYGGGAACAAGTGTTCCTCGTCCACCCTCTCGGGCCTCTTTCCAGSCTCTGCAGCCATACCTCACGACCGATTACCCCCTGCAATACTGAACAAAGGTTCATGCACCATCTGAGGATATTGAACGTCATMTGTGGTCATCATCTGGTACATTTCTGCATACCACGGGTCCTCYAGTATCCTCTTCCATCGCTTCACTGATCTCTCACTGCTAAATGGGAACAACGGTTCGGTGACACTTAGTCCACACGACTGTTCGTCATTCCTTGTTGTTTCTGAACTGTCCGTCGCTTTTGATCCCATGATACAACCCTTGCCATCTACCCCCTCGTTGATTTTGTAAGATTGCTCATCTGTACACCCCTCATGATCCGTCATACAACAGATGTCACGGCTGATGGACAAAGGTTGCAGTGTCAGTCTAAATCGGCTTCTCCATAATTCCTGAAAACGCTTATTTTTTCTCTTGTTGTCTTGCCACTTCTTCCAGGGGAGAGTGTCGTTCTGGCGTTACCTCGACCTCAACATTTCCTGTCCATATGGCAGTCACATGGCCATGAAGCACATCTTGTCAATTACTCGGTTTTAGTGGTAAGTCTTTCGACAATATGTGTGCGTGAGAGAGAGAGAGAGAGAGAGAGAGAGAGAGAGAGAGAGAGAGAGAGAGAGAGAGAAAAAAAAAAAAAGAGAGAGAGAGAGAGAGAGAGAGAGAGAGAGAGAGAGAGAGAGAGAGAAAGAGAGAAAGAGAGAGAGAGTACTACGAGGTAGAATGACGGTATCCTGTGACGTAATGACCTTTTATCGCACGCAAGTATAGACATAGGTTGGCTAGTGCGTGCCACCTGTCACTTCTTAAGTCCACGTTCACCATACATATGCACGCAGTAGTCAACTTTAAAATTACCTTCGTCATACACACTGCTTTGATGCACCTTTCTCTACATTGCTGTGTAAGATGATATAGAAGCTATGCAACGGTGTAACACAACCTTATCTGAGCGAAAAAAACAGTCTCACAACCATGTTGTTCCGTCTTGCACGATCGTGCCGGTCTGAAATATAGTCTCGCCGCTTGAAAAATCTATCGATGTTTGAACTTCATCTTTACAAAATGACTATTGTCGTTCAAACGCTTCTCTCTCTCTCTCTCTCTCTCTCTCTCTCTCTCTTTGTAAAAGAAATACAAAAGTTGAACGCATGCTGTAGTATAAAATTGCGACTGCGCCCACCACAGATTTTTCTCGGAAAAACGTTCAGTCTTTGAAATTTTGGTTTTTTTTTGTGTAATTCCCTGTACACTTCTGGAGTATATATCTATTCAACAAAAAACTATCCTCCCTCTCTTTTGCATGCTTCTTCGAGCCCCACTGTGGTTTACAAAAAGGAGGAACAATGTGAACGGTCTCGATGATGGTGTCAATCGTTATGACGCTACTGTGTTGATGACCGTTTACCTTCCCCCATTGCAACTTCTTACAACCTGTTGTGTGTTCCCTTTCGCTATCCACCTCTTTGTACCATTGCACAAAACAACACTTGTGCATCTCTGCAACATGTCCTGTGCAAGTGTTCATGACAAAAAACATGGCTACTAATGTATACCATATGTTGCCATTCCCACCTCTCACTGCAACATCGCTGTGCACGGCTCTCCCGTGGAACTATGGTGAAGCTCTTGCCGTTTGAACGCCTGCACCCCTGTGCGTCCCGTCGTATGTGCAGGCGATAGTCAAGTGTGTTCGAGTGTGTATCACTTGGTCACCACATGGAGGTTGGCAGCCGTCCTCTGTCATGAACGTCGTGAGTGAAGCTCGAAAATCATCTCTGCAGGGAAGCTCATTAAGTATTCTCAACGCCGCGTTGCTTATACCCTCCACCTCCGGCAAATGCACACCGTCCATCAGGAACCACCGGAGTTGTAGAGTTGTTGTGTCGCGCGCTGCGAGGGTATTAATTCCGGTGGCCATGCAGTCTGTCACGGATGACCAATTTTATGCCGACCTCTTTCTTCGTTTTCTCACAATCTCTATCTCATCCTGCAAAGCCAATGAGCGTCGGACACGATTCACCATATGGGAAGCAGCCTTGCGCTCGTTCGATGCCTGATATGGCTGTTGTAGAACCTCCGATGATGATGCTCCCGCACATCAGCTGCGAAGGTATCGGGGACACCGGATCGCTCTATGCATGTTCTCAGATGCATACAGTCGTGCAACTTCGAAATTTTCCAATCCGAGGTTTGATATTTTTTCATCTTCGTTTTTATACTCGTTATGAAATCACATATCAATGCGTCACATACATCGAGAGAAGTCGTAGTGTGGGTCGACTTACGAAACACGTGTATGTACGTTTCCATGAGTTTGATGAAACAAGCGCAAATGGATTTGTCTGTCGCACGCGGGATGATATACAAATAATAAACACGCAAACTGTCACAACAGACCGATTTTGCTTCGCTTCAAATCGTCCTTCCCTTGAGAAGAAATCACAACCTGTAGCCACGGGCAACACGAGCTGCGGGTATGTCCTCACACATCTCTCACTGATGCTCTTTAACCTCGCATCCATCTCGTGCAATATCTCGGTTTGCGCGATATCCGGCAACTTCTTATAAGCTGCTGCCTTGAATGCATCTATCATATGCAAGAAAATGTCGTGTTCAATGGTGTGCATACGGTCCGGTTGCAAAGCAAGATGGGAATCTAGTTGAGGATCGTCACCATGCGGACCCCTGTAGAATCCCCAAAGGCCGTTCTCTTGAACATGCTTATGCATGTTCAATTCTGACATTCGTGTCTCTGCGGCACGGCTAATATCGTTGTCTCCATTGTTGAAGCAGTTCGCAGCAACTTGCGTCTCTAGCGTCTGCGACCTCCTGCAGTTGCTGAAATCGGCGATGACATCGGAATCATCTTTGGACACTGTCCATGTTGAACAAACACCGAATTTCACAGTTGCAAGGGCACAGCTTTCAGGATAGTCCTGTATATAGTTCATGACGAAATGCAGGACTGTTATCTCGCCGAACCGCTCCGTTGTAACTATCATGTCGTCATGGGATGCCTCCTTTGCGGACCGCAATACTATTGAGAACGCTTTATGCAATATCACAACTTTCTGTTTTCTAAACGAGGTGGAGTGCAGACCCCAACCCTTGTCACGTGGCCGGTGTTGAAGCATAGGAAGATACGCAAGGAGTGTGGCGTATGATGCGCGATCGGCTATTGACATCATCAGAGGATACGTTGTCTGCTTTTGACGACCGTCTACATGAGTCTTGTTTGAAATACAGAGACAGAGGGATGACATAACGTGTTTTACCATTCGTGTCCACGCCCTTGTCCGCTCTGATAACAGTTTGGACATGGTGACTCAACTTGCCCGTGCGAGAGCCACATATGTTGATCCCCTTCCCGGGAGGTCGTATTTCGAGGCAAGAAACCGTTTCAACGTTGTGCAGTGTAGCACATACGAGGTCAGCGAACGTTGTGCGCCAGTCGCGATACCACAAAATGGCGTGCGCTTCTTCTGACCAATCATCACTGCATAGATTGGTCTCTTGCCACCCTGCAGCCTCAGTCTGGCGGCTTGCTCATGTCAGACACTCACGACTGTTACGAAATGCGATATTTCTTGGGTCGAATCTAGGATTCTTGAGGAGTGACAACAAACAGTCAACGTCAGTTTGGGACACGCCCACACCGCCCCTACATGAGAAAATCAATGCTGCAAGTTTGCGGGAGCTGTCGAATGCATCTGTGTGTTGTTCTTGCTATTCTTCGGATGCGCATTCTGCTTCTGCATTGGGAGGGGGCTCAACCTCCTCGCTTTCCCCACGGACCTGATTAATGGGACCACTATTTGACGGTCCACCGATAACCTCCCCAACTATCTCTTGTGTCGTGCTTCTCTCTTCCACAGCGGACGGACATGCCCGCGCTCGGTGTGAGTTCATCGTCCGTAATGACATGAATGGCCACCAACAGTCACACACGTGACTCGCGCCATCCATTGCAACTACGTGCGAGAAATACAAAGTGATGTCACTTAAGACCTATCGCAGATGGAGGATGCGCGTTCGGTGTGAAATTCATGAGTTCCTTTCACACTTCCCTCACCCCCGTCCCCCCTCTCCCTCCCTTCGACTCAACACCGCTGTTGTGCACTGCTGACAGATTCCAAGACAACGACAACATTCCAAGCGGTATTAAAATCAAGAATTGTGGTGACTGTTTCGCCTTTTTTTTTTTTTTTTTTACTTCGAGGAATGCCACATTTTCTTTCAAAGTGTCACATCCTCGTTTTCTGAGCGCGCACACACACACACACACACACACACACACACACACACGACGCACACACACACACACACACACACACACACACGTGGCA